ACTCAATTGAAAAGATCTTCAAGTTGAATGAAGTTTTTAAATTTGTTGCTGAAATATCAGAAGAAGCCGCGCGCGAGATCTTGATTCATCTGTTGGAAATAGCGGCGAAGGAAGCCGGAGAGTACAGCTTCGACAACCAAGCACCGTCAGTCGAAGATTTGTCAGAAACACAAAAAAATCTTTTAACTCTATGTACACAGTTTTTCTTCTACTGCTCAGCAGACACGAGAACAGAACTTTTCCCCACTTTTCTTTCTAATCTAGGAGGTGTTTTTTTAATAAATCCTAACCAGCTGAATATTGCAGCAAAGGAAAATTTTGTTAAAACTACCGCTTCACTTATGTACATATTTTTCTCTGAAAGCGACCAGTATAAAGAGCAAAGTTATAATCATTTGACAACTTTAGCACAGCAATTAAACGCTGTTATAGTTAGTAGAACAGGAGAACAGAAAGCATCAGAATTTTTGAATGTATTTCCATGGCGTAGTGTTGACGAGTTTTTCTTAATGAAAGAAGAAAACAACACTCACCTTTATTTTACTCAAATTGTAAAACCTCTTCCATATAAAATGGTAAAGACGTTAGTTAGTTTAGAAGAGACAACAAAGAAGACAAACATGAATGGTGATGAGTCAAGTGAAGAGAGCAGCAGCAGCTGTTGTTCAAAGCGTCATGGTCTCTCCAGGGTTCGGTTGATTTATGCTTGGAAGGTGAACAGGTCAGATGTGGAACTGATGATTGAGATGATGCCGTTTATCACCGCTCCACACGAGATAGGGGTTTGGGATGAACTCGGTGAAGTGTTTGATGCTGAGCTAACAGAGTCTCTACTGAGGAGCATCCCAAGAACACACAAACTGGAGAGATTAACACTCGGTCATATCAATATAACATCATCACCTGCTGTGGAGTTCATCAGCAGAGTATTTAAACAAGATCTTCCAAACTTGAAGTATCTCCACATGTCATTCAATCCTCTTCTGGGTGCAGGAGTCGACAGCTTGATAAAACATCTCAGCTGCGCTCCTCACCTGGAGAGACTGTACCTTGTAGAAGTGAAGATGACTCCACAGCAGGTGATGAATCTCACATCAGCTGTACAGCAGCACGGAAACATCACTCAACTGCTGTCACCCTACCACGTAAGTTTTCCAATTTTATCGCAATTTGTTTCTTTATTCTTTGTTTACAGTTTATTTCTACTCAGCTCTTGCCTTTCGCCATTTTCCTTTCTTTGTCATTTTTATACTCGACAAAACACGAGATTTGCTTTTGAAATCAAATCACAAACTTTAGCAGATTCAAAGAATCATTTCAAATTCATTTCTTTCAACTGATTAAACTAACTCCATAAAATGTTTTAACTGAGAACGTTAAGAACAAGTAACTTTAGCTGATATTAAAACATGGAGTTGAACACAAAAGGAGAAATTTCGTATCTTCAAGCAGCCATAAGATGATATTATTGGGTAAAAACAAGAACTTTTAGCCAAACAAAAGCACATAATTTCCACAGTATTAATTTCTGAATCAATTTTAATTCATACTTTTTCATAAAATAACAAACAACAATCATAAAAGCAAATGAAAGATGTTCAGTTCATGTTCAATTTAAACAAATAAGCAAAGAGTAAACACATTGAACTCACATTTATCATCCAAGGTTCCTATAAAATCAGTTTAAGTCAAGTGAAGTTCCTTTGAAAGTCCAAAAAACAAACAAGTCTTTTATAGCTGTTCTTTTGTTAGTTCTTGAGCGTTTCTTTGGTAAATACTGGTCCTTGCAGTTCGATCGGTGAAGCCATGGTTGGTTTTTGAAATAACAACCCGCACAAAAAAATTGTATCTTCGAGACAACGGTTCAAAGCAACACCAAAAAAATTTTCCTTACAGGTAAACACTTTGCTGTCCTCCACTGTATAGCATAAGTGTCCATTGCACGATTTTCATCGCGTAAAATAGCATGAGCTTGTTTTCAATTTTCCAAGAACACTCGCCATACAAACCAAATCCTGCGGAGCTTTGGGCTTTCGTGAAATATCCTTATAAATGATGTTTCCTTGAGCTTCGAACAACACCTTAGCATATTCCTGAGTAAGAAGAGATGAATCCCTGTCTTATGTAACATTTCCTTGATGTTTTCTTATTAAATTTTGAGTTCATCCTGAACAGTTTGCCGTTGAAGAGCGAACTGAACAAACTACAAAAACAACAAACGATGTCATTCAAAGCCTGGTGACGTAGCGGCAGCTGATTGGTTAAATCCACCTCGGATGATTTTTCACGTGATGACATTTTCCCGCCTTTCGTTTCATTACGTAACAAACTCCCGCCCGAAAAAAAAATCACGGTGATCAGCGAATTTTGTGAGGCTGAATATATTTTCAAAAGAAAAAAAAAAAAAGATTTGCTAATTTTGATTTTGATTCCACTATTTTGAATGCGAATTTCTTGTACGTGCGCCTTGTGTTTCTCTTTGCAATGCCGCCGAGGGGGGAGAGGTACTGGGGGGTAAATCTCCCTCCTCCCTAAAGTTGGTTTAAAAATTGGCGACGGGTAACACTCGTTTCTTGAACTTAGTCGTAAAGGAAGTTTTTTGACCTTCAGCGCTTCGCCTCTACACCAACATACCAAACAAAGAAGGCATAACCACCGTGTGTCTAGTGCAGTTCTGGCCTCTCTCTCTCTCTCTATGTCACGCAACGCCGGAGAGAGAGGGTCCTCCCCCACATCCCTTATCATCACGCAAGAGAAGTCAAAATCTTCGCTTGGAAAAATTTCTCCCAGCAAATAACTGTAAAGACGCTTAAAAATAGTTTGTCAGTTGTTTTTAAAACATTAACCTTGTGCTCGTATAATTTTTGACAAGGTGCCGGGTTCGAATCCTGCTCAGTAGCCTTTCTTTTTTCCTTCTGTCTTTCTCTTTTTTGTTTCGTTTTCGTTTTTGTTTTGTTTGCTTATTTGTTTTGTTGTTGTTGTTTGTTCAATATATACCTTCTAGAGCAAAGATAGTATATATATGGATAAACAATCTGAATTACTATCGTTTCCTACAATTTTCACTCCTTTTTTATCGCAATATATTTTACAAAACTAAAACAGTAGCCACATGCAGTCACAGACTGCCTTTTATTATTTAGGCCAAGTTTCGACTGCTGATCTTTGCTTTCGGCACGCGAGGCTTGTTTTGAACTTAGTACATCTTGTCAAAGTTGTTGTCATATAAACAATTGTCTTTCGTTGGTCACTGTAATCGCATTGTACTTTAAATGAAGGTTTTCAAATGTTACACGTCCACACTTTATTAAAGGGAGATGGGTTGTTTTAAGTATTGTTTTGTATTTTGTTGAAGGATGATGAAGGAAACCCCAAACCTGAGGATGAATGGCCATCAGAGAACTACTGGAAGAGTGAGTACCCTCACCTCTTTCCTGATTCATCACCTGAATCAGCGCATGAACGGGAGCAGGTTAGTCATCACTCACCTATTTCTGTGAAAGTTTATTTATTAATATTAGTAAGACTTTCAGTGTCTGTGTGAACAGTTCTTTTTTTCTGTCCGTCAGAGATAATCAATACGCTCAGGAGCCTTCATTTATAAGTCTCCATTACGGAGGATTTCCGAGTTGGTGATACTGAGTTAATTTTTTTAAAAATTAACTCAGTATTTATTATTATTATTATTATTATTATTATTATTATTATTATTATTATTATTATTATTTTACTGTATTAAAATACAGTAAAAACCCGCGTGTAAGAACCTAGTAACCTGCTGGAAGAAATTTGCTTCTTTATTACCCAACAATATAAGAACCGGGTTGGCCAAACGAGATCAAGCAGGTTCTTATATGCGGGTTACAGTTAAATTAATGAGCTTATTCATCATCTTAAAAAGAGATTGAACAGGAACAGGTTAGTCACCAGCTTCGTTTGTTTAAGTTTATGCGTCAGTCATTTGAAACTCCGGCCCCCCGATCCCCGGGACTTAGCAGGGAATTCAACATTGGTTTGGTGTTAAAACACCGCTAATTTCCCCGCTCCCCGGGCCAAGTAGTTTGTTAAAAGCCCCGTATAGCAGGGAATTAGTAAAGTGTAGTTCCAGGCTCGATTTCAACCGCTCTGTCCGATCTGGTATTCTGTATTTCTTAAAATTCAATTTATCGGACCTGTTAATAGAAACTCTCCATTGCGTTCCTTCAAATTCATGAAAAATGTTACCCTGGGTGCCCGAGGATTTTTTTCTTATCTAATTTCTGAGAACGGACGTCTGGAGCCAGTGTAGAAAAATGTGGTTAGATCGCTTACAACAAAGTAACTTCTGTATGGTATACTTGTAAGGGCGAGGGATCTTAAGCGAAACCCGGGGGGGGGGGTACTTCATAATATAAGCAATATACGTACAGTCAACTCTCGCCTTCCGGACGCCCCGATAATACGAACAGCAACTAAATTCCCCGGCAAAACAAATTACAGACGTTTGACGTAAATAAACTCCCGCTATTACGGACTCTCGCTGATGAGGAACGTAATTTGAGGTCCCTATGGTGTCCGCTATAAAGGGCCGGTTGACTGTAATTCAGACATAATTTCTGCCTAAATGTCAGGTCTGAAAACGGGTGTGGATTTTAGAGGTCAGGTCTGAAAAAGGGTGTGGAAAGTGACAGTTTTTGGTCTGAAATAGGGTCAGGATTTGGAGAACTAGGCGACACACCCCCACCGAGAATTACCCGGAGTACCCCCTGGGAAGCGAGATTTGTGAAGTCCTTGTAAGGCATGTGTAGGACGTTCCATACACTTTCTTTCTGTGTCTTGAGACTAGGGAACCTGTTTTGTGCCTTCCTGCCCTGTTTCTCCTATGTTTTAAAATCGTCATTCTCTGCGGCATCATCTCTCTTCTGCCGCCATACAAAACTTTGGGAAACGAGGCTTTTCTTCAGTCACTCATGTTAAATCCCCGCTTCAGAAAATTCGTGTTACTGTTTAATCCCCGCTCATGACATGGATAAAACAGGTATTTTGTTAATTTCCTCGCCACCTTGATTCCCTTTTTAAGCTGTTTAGGGAAGATATCACTGACATTTTGTGCCAAGTAGACCTATAGACTTTCGAAAAAAGAGTGTTTTCCAACATTTGGTAGATCAGCAAAGAAAGTAGAAACAGACACGTTATCTATAATTTAAAAAAGGAGTTCGTTTTGTTCTCGTAACTCCGATGAAGTGATCGATAACTCTCCATCTGGTAGTTCGGATGGTTACAGTGTTTTGCAGCAAGTCCAGTCACTAATATAAGGGTTTTGCACCTTGTAATTATCTCAACCCCTTTAGCAGAACTCACACTTCCCGGCTAAATTTGCCCATCAGACACTGTACTTCTTATTAGGCCGAGTATTGATTTAATGATCTTCACAGTCGGTACGTGCGGTCTGTTTTGAATTTTGTACATCTTGTCGAACTTTTTGTCAACCCGGCACCCTTTTTTACGCGTCTGACTTAAAATATCCTTTGTTTATGTTCTGTAATACCATTGTACCTAAATGAAGGTTTTCAAATGTGTACACGTCCAAATTTACCTCAAGGAGGTGGATGGTTTTAAGTATTGTTTGGATTTTGTTAAGGGATTTTGTTTAACTTTGTTTAAATTTATTTACTGTATTTTATTGTTTTATTTATTTTTGATTTTTAGTGTTTCTTTCCGCCGGAGATGATCAAAGACACTCGAAGCTTTTGTTTATAATAAGACCTCTACACTACAAGTCTTACAGTGATTTCCAACACTGAACACTGAATTCATTCCCCTAAAATCCTGAAATACTGCAACGAAATTCTTCCATATAATATGTTTCCCTCCGACGTACCGGGTGCATCTTTAAACTTAAGGCTGGAAATACTTAAGCTTCAAGGCCTTTTTAACGGAGTATTCTCTTATTTGCGTATAGTTAACTATGTTGTGTGATTGTGTTTGTGATTTTATTTTGTAGACCCATGAAAGGGCATCAGAGTTTCCAAGGAGAAAGAGATGTTCCTGCTGTATTATCATGTAAATTACTGTGCTAGTTAGACAGCAATCCTTGAGAATATTTTGACTATTTTCAGATTTTTGTCTTCAATCGGTCATTTTCCAGTTGCCTCAAGCCTCTGTTTCAAAGCGAGGCTAAGAGTAAAGCCATTGATATGAAAATGTTTTTTTATTCTCATATACAAATAAACTTCATTTTCACAAGAAAGGTTTTGAACTTTGCCTCGTTTCGAAAGTGAGAGTTTTTGGAACTCGGAAATGGCCAATTGCGTTTTAACTGAAAGATTTAAGAGAGTCGTGGTGCTCAATAAATTATACTTCGAGTGGCAAACTGGAACAAAACATGACAAATCCACTTCCCAAAAACAGAAGAAAACTCGGAAGCGTTCAAGAATCGTGTGTCACCACTTGCGCAAAGCAGGCCTCCCAGGATTACAGGGCTCAAGATTAGCACTCGCAAACTCCCAAAATCTGAGTGGTTTTCGGAAGTTGCCTGTCAAAAGAAAATCCTCTAGCAAAAATTGGCGAGTAAGCATTTCTCGAGCGGAAATTTGAGAGTGAAGATGATCGTTGTTGAAGAATCTTTACCATTTGTTGGCTAAAAAACAATGCATACATTGACTGATTGTACGAGAGGAACGGGTGGCATGTCATCACTGCTCATTTGTTTTATTTACATCATTACAATGTACATTTCAGCTTGGCACCGTGATTTATACTCGGTTCCACTAGGTGTGAGTAAGGCGGCTTTTTCAGCTTTATCCTTCTAGACTGTCTAAGAAACCCCTCATTTTTGGGATGGTTCTCGGCCTCGAAGACAAACAATAGCCTCTGAATTTACTGCTTTGGCTAGTAGAAGAAATTTTTACAAGTAAAGCTTTGCCATTGAACTGAAAATTAAGATCGAGCCCTGTAGGAACGAGGTCGCATTTTAGCGGATTTCAGGTCATTTTGTCATTTTCTGTTCCACGATCCTTTGTGTTTGACAGTATCGAGTAACGTAAAC